AAAGTGAATATGAATAGGCCGTGTCTATTGCGGCATTAAATTAAAATCTGCTCATGTTGCACCGTATTTAATTTTAAGCGTTTTTAGAGTGTTGCACATTTTAACCAATCACACACAATTCTGTTGAACTTAGGAATGCAATGGCCAATCAGACGTGTTCAGATGAGTCATCGTTCAAACTCATCAGTTTTGTTGAGTGCGCGCGCGTTCGCTGACTGAATTCCAGACTCTTGCGAATTCTCTCATCATAAACAACAAAGTGCAGATGTATGTACAATGTAAGTAAGAGATTCATTTCACAGTGTATACAGCTTCAGTGATTATAACGGTAGTTTTGGTTTTTTGAGAGTGCTTAAACTCGCCATAGATCAATGTTAGTGATAATGCCACTTTCTATACATAATTTATTCTCTGTTTGAATAACTGTGGAAAGGAAACGTTAAATAATTATACATTTCTAACGTGTTTATTAAATTGTAATCACTTTAAATACAAATTCAGTCCCATTAAACATTTTTTTAGCCTACGTGACACCCGTGTCTGGTTCTTGCCTAAAACGACGGGTTTATGATGTTCAATACATTTGGCTGCTTTTAGCCTTACCCTGGAGTTACACTCTTAAAAATAAAGGTGCTTCACGATGCCATAGAAGAACCTTTTTGTCTAAATGGTTCCATAAAGAACCTTTAACATCTGAAGAACCTTTCTGTTTCACAAAAGGTTCTTTGTGGCGAAAGAAGGTTCTTCAGATTATAAAAAGGTAAGAAAGAGATGGTTCTTTAAAGAACCCTTGACTGAATGGTTCTTATATGGCATCGCTTGAAGAACCTTTTGAACCACTTTCTATACATAATTTATTCTCTGTTTGAATAACTGTGGAAAGGAAACGTTAAATAATTATACATTTCTAACGTGTTTATTAAATTGTAATCACTTTAAATACAAATTCAGTCCCATTAAACATTTTTTTAGCCTACGTGACACCCGTGTCTGGTTCTTGCCTAAAACGACGGGTTTATGATGTTTAATAAATTTGGCTGCTTTTAGCCTTACCCTGGAGTTACACTCTTAAAAATAAAGGTGCTTCACGATGCCATAGAAGAACCTTTTTGTCTAAATGGTTCCATAAAGAACCTTTAACATCTGAAGAACCTTTCTGTTTCACAAAAGGTTCTTTGTGGCGAAAGAAGGTTCTTCAGATTATAAAAAGGTAAGAAAGAGATGGTTCTTTAAAGAACCCTTGACTGAATGGTTCTTATATGGCATCGCTTGAAGAACCTTTTGAAGCACCTTTATTTTTAAGAGTGTAGTTCACCCTCCGCCTATGAATGACTGCGTTAAGTGTGGAAATCATGGACCTCACCAGAGACTGTTTCCTCCTTTGTGATGCTTTGCCAGGCTTCTACTGCAGCTGACTTCAGTTGTTGTTTGTTTGTGGGTCTTTCTGC